GAGGGGATGGCACCCCCGCTTCGGTAGCCCGACGACCTGCGCGCGAAGTCGATCACTTTACGGTAGAACAGTTTAACAAGGACCAATACCGCACACCCTCGGTCCCTACGCAGACTGATCCAAGTGGTCACCCACCCTCTCACTGACCGTAGCCAGTGATGCTTGACTTCGGTGATCAGCTGGGAACCGTGCCTTAACGATCAGTCCACTGCGGGACCAAAATGTAGTGAAAACAGGGGAAAAATTACAGAACAATGAAAGAAGGGGGAAATAATAATAATAATAATAATAAAAATAAGAAGAAACCGGAAAAAAACTAAAAATAACAAGAAACCGGAAAAAATGTATGTTCATGTAAGTTCATTTGAATTCGCCACTCGCTTTCTTTATTTCATTTCATGTTTTATTCTGTTATTTCTTTATATTTTATTTTCTGTTTTTACGTGATATTTTTACTTATTGTGTTCTATTTTATTTGTTGTAATTTTTTTTTGCAAAATTTTTTGAGTGCTCCTCACGCTATTGTATTGATATATTTTGCTTTGGCTATATATTGATACAATATTAGAAAGCACTCCTTTGTGTGGATATAATCGTGTGAGCTGATGAAGAAATTATATCTTTTATTTTCCGGATTTTTTTAAAATTTTTGTCCTTTTCTTCTGGTTGTTTTTTCCGGTTTCTTGTTATTTTAATATTTATTATTATTTTTTTCCCCTTCTTTCATTGTTCTGTAATTTTTTCTAGTTTTGTCTACATTTTGAACTTATATATATGTACGCTTTATAACAAAGATATTAAAAGATTTTGTTAAGTATACTATTATTCAAGCTATTTCTATTCTTTATTTTGATTAACTCTCAGAGCAGATTTTAAAAACCTGTTCGTGTTTATCCCTAGCAAAGAAGATGAGGAGTGGTCATTTGCTGCATATTGGTTTTTAAGAATTCTACACCAGACTGGTTGTTTTTTGTGGTATGTTATTGTTTCAATGGGCCACTGGGGTAAGGGAAAACCGATCCCATCGATCAAAAATGATTTATTACTATTGTCGGCAACGAAGATAGCTGAAGAAATTCGCAATGGAAAAGTAAGTATCTGTAGTATAAGTTTTTTTTTTAATTTTCGAAAACGCAATTTTTATATACCCGCAGGAAGATAAGGAAACATTTTTTTTTTCAGAGAGAGAGAGGAATCAGCATCATTTTCAAAAATTCTATGTGGAAAATAAGCTGTTTAACTTTATTTTACTATGCACCTTACATAACCGCTCTTTAATGTTCGCTCTTTGAGTTTAGGGCAGCATAACATGATTAGCCACATTTACAAATTGTCAAGTAAAGCATTTTTAGAGGGAAATATCACGAATTATGTGTGAAGGGAATAATATGTATCTGGAAATTTTTGTGCTTTTTTTGTAGAATTTCCATGAAATATCTATCTAGAAGCGATATTAAACTTAACAGTTTAGCTCAAAATGTTACCGTAGGAGAAAGTTAAGTTTTATGTCACGTAAACCATGCAGTTTAGGTTCTTCCTTCCTTCCTCAATGGCACGACAGCCCCGGGTGGGCCCTGGCCTTCTCAATCAACTTCCTCCAGGCCTGCCTCTGCCTGGCAGTTGTCTTCCAGTTTGAGACTTTTAAGACTGAAAAGTCTCTTTCCACGCAGTCGGCCCATCTCAGCTTTGGTCGACCTCTGACCTTCAGANCTTGCTAGTTCAATAAAATTTTGGTTGTAACGCTCTTGGGTTCGTAATGCCATTACGAGTTTATCGCTGTGTTGTCTCTTTTGACTCTTTTGCTTAAAAAGGTCTGCATTATAATTGATACCAAGTAACATTTTACTACAACTTCATAATAAGCAGCATGAAAAATATTTATCTGCAGAGTCCGTGGTTAGATATATTTTTTGTCCGTAAAGCAAAGTAAATAAATTTGTGTACAGAGTTAAAATAGTAATTATAATAGTTTTCAGTAGCACAAATAGTTCTGAAGTTCTTAGAGATTTGACAGGGCATTGTTTGACAAGGTCGGGCGTAAACATAGTTTTAGTAAAAAATGTACTAGGTAAAAATGTATTTAGTAAAAAATGTATTAAGACAAAAAATTTATTATTAGTGAGTTCAAACAGAAAATTGAAAAACGTAATAGCAAAATACAAATTTTTTTATTTAAAATGTATTAAACAAATACATTAAACTCGAAAATTAATGAAAATAACTTGCTAATTAATATTTTTATTCATTTTGCAAAATAATTGCATTTCCAAAGCATTTTGTTTTTTTGTTTTTTTTCAGATAGCTTACCGAGTTTTAGAAAAAAGTAACGATTTCATTCGACATTTCCGTTACAAATACTTGTACTTTTTCCCTAAAAAAGTAACGAAAGTACAAGTAAAAGTACTAAATTTAAAAAGTAACGTAGTACAAGAAAAAGTACGTACTTTTTACTTGTCCCGGTGGTACAAGTAACGAAAGTAAAAGTACTGCCATATATGCACCTTACATAACCGCTCTTTAACGTTCGCTCTTGGGGTTTAGGGCAACATAACATGATGAGCCACGTTTACAAATTGTCAAGTAGAGCATTTTTAGGGGGAAATATCATGATTTCTGTGTGAAGGGAATAATATGTTTCTGGAAATTTTGGTGCATTTTTTGTAGAATTTCCAAAATTCGTGAAATATCGATCTGGAAGCGATATTAAACTTAACAGTTAAGCTCAAAATGTTACCTTAGGAGAAAGTTAAGTTATTATGCCACGTAAACCATGCAGTTTAGGTTCTTCCTTCCTTCCTCAATGGCAGGACAGCCCCGGGTGGGCCCTGGCCTTCTCAATCAACTTCCTCCAGGCCTGCCTCCGCCTGGCAGTTGTCTTCCAGTTTGAGACTTTTAAGACTGAAAAGTCTCTTTCCATGCAGTCGGCCCATCTCAAGTTTAGGTTCTACTTCTATTAAAACAAAACCTTTTTCTATGTCAAGAAACAGAGTTAAGGATAGAAACACAGAAATGCAGAAGAAAATTACAAAATTTTACCGCTTAGTACAGCCCGCTTATAACAACAGTAGAAGAATAGAAGTATAGAAGATGACGAGTAAAGAGTAAAAATCTATTGTTGTTGTTTGTAATGTCACTTGCCAATATCAGCATGCTTGCCTGGCTAAACCAAGCGAATTGAAGGCAGAGGGTGCTTAAATTCGCTGTTTATGTTTTTCAGTAACGTCGTCCATGACCGATAATACAACTTTTTTAAAATTTACAGCCTTCACTAACACAGTTTTTTCAGTTTATTATTAAAAGTGAATGTAATTGTGATATATGTTTTGGATTTAAATATGAATAATTTTAATTGTAAGTCATGGTGATAGTTTCGATTGAATAATTAAGTAGATTAAATAAATAAATAAAAATATTGAGTTTTTACCAATCTTTAGTCGTCCGTGGCATCCCAGCTTTCCCACATTTATATTTCCCAACTGTCTCCATATTTATATTTTCAGATATAAGATGAAAAATGTTGTTTAAAATCTTTTATTTAGATTACGAGTGAAGAAGTTGTCAAAGCATACATCGAAAGAATAAATGAAGTTAATCCATACATTAATGCTGTGGCGGAAAACCGATTTGAAAAAGCTGTTAAGGAGGCAAAAGAGTGCGATTATCTTGTGAAATCAGGATTTTATACAAGAGAGTGGTTAGAAAAACAAAAGCCACTCCTTGGCGTTCCAGTTACAATTAAAGTTCTTTTTAAAGTTAAAGGTAAATACAGCTTACTAGTTCAAAATGAAGAATAAAACAAAGAAAATTTATAGACATATGAAAAAAAGGGGGTGGGAAATACTAAGTAAAAAAATAACAAACAACATATTATTAAAAAAAAAAAAAAAAAAAAAAAAAAAAAAAAAAAAAAAAAAAAAAAAAAAAAAAAAAAAAAAAAAAAAAAAAAAAAAAAAAAAAAAAAAAAAAA